GACTACGACAGAGAGAGAGAGTTGTGACTTGAGACTTGACGACATTGGATCCAGACTCGACATTGGGATTCAGATATTTTGACGAGTGACTATTTGGGCCTGTGCCGAAGACTTGTTGTTGACGACATTCCCATCTTCCCCTCTTCTTCGTCTAACCCCCCTCTTCTTCGTCAGTGTATGGTTGGCGCCGGCGCATTCTTCCTGTGTGAGCGCCAGACCCCTTCACACCATGGAGTGATGATGATGATGTATGTTCGGGGCTGCCTTGCAATATTGATTGTTCGGATCATTGGTATCTAAGTTTTTCGCTGCGCTATCTTGTACTTTGTTAGAGAGGTCGGTTCTTGTTCTGGTCTGCACCTTTACAGTATTCAACAGTTTGGTATCGGAGCGGACCTCTCATTCAGAGGACCCTTCTCAATCAAGTAGCCAGCTTGCTTGATCTATTGATTACTCATTAGTAAATCAAGTAGGACTTCGTCAAATCTCTGAAAATTAGTAAATCAAGTAGGACTTCGTCAAATCTCTGAAAAAAAAAATTCTCGCAACAACTATCTGAGAATTTCTGATAATCGCATTTCGTTTTACCTGAAATAACTATCTGAAAATTTCTGATAATCGCATTTCGTTTTACCTGAAATTTCTGATATTAGTGTTTCGTTTTCACGCAACAAATATCTGAAAATTTCTGATAATCGCATTTCGTTTTATGAACTTTTATCTGAAAATTCCTGATAGTAGCATGTCGTTTCTCTGATATTTGCATATATAGCTGAAAATTTCTGATGTTAACATTTCGTTTTCTAGGCATAATAGGATAACGATAGAAGTGGTCATATTCTTGGAAACTGGATTTATTCTTCTGAAAATCGAATTCCCATTCTATCTCGCAAATGTTTTTGAACACTGAAATCTTGCGAAGCATACCAACATTTCGTTAGGCATATTAGGAGCTTGCCATATTCTCAGAAACTGGATTTAGTTCTTTTTTGAAAATCGCATCTCTACTCTATTTCACAATTTTTTTTTTTCAAGATCTTATTTTGTGAAAGCCGAAACTTTGCGGAACCTAGCCTAGATCTCGCTCATAGCACTCTTCTGACATGTCTCACTCATAACAGATCGACAAATATACAAAAAAAAAAGAAAAAAAAAGGAAGTAGTCCTCTTTTATTTTTTTATTTTTTTTATCTGTTGATTAGGGCCGGGAGGAAAGTATTGTTGGGTTGGTTCCCTACCTGCGTTTTCCCTCCCACCCACCCCTTTGCATGCATTCCGGGTTGGCACAGTGCCACGTCAGCAACAGTGCCACGTCAGCAACAGTGCCACATCAGCAGTGCCTTGTCAGCAGTGCCACGTCAGCAACAGTGCCACATCAACAACAGTGCCATGTCAGCAGTGCCACGTCAGCAACAGTGCCATGTCAGCAGTGCCACAGTGCCACATCAGCCCCGCCACCATGACGGGCTCAGTTCTGGGCATGCCAGGCCAACTGGCAAATGAGTCCATTGCCGAGTACCGACAGCGTTTCGAAACTCAGCTTGCACTAATCGCGGCTGAGGAACAGCGCCAGCTGGCAGCCGAGGCTGTCCGCCTACAGGCTGAAGCGGCGGCAACAGCTGAGAAGCAGCGGCTTCAGGCTGAAGCAGCCGCAGATACCCAGGCACGCCACAATGAAGCCCAGGATCTGCTACAGCAGCATGAAGCCACCAGCATTGAAAGGCTCAAGTTTTGGCATTTTGAACCATCCGAGGAGCACGACGACGCGACACCGGAGGAACAACACAAGCTCATAACCAGGTTGGTTTACACTTGTAACCACCTGCAGTCTGAGCTGGCGAACCTCCAGCGGGCCGTGCGGAACCACAAGGCTCAGCGCGAGGATGCAGCACGGGCACTTGACTCCGGTGTACAGGACTTGGAGCAATCTGCACCAAGACCCAATGCTGGCGAGACCAACAGTGCACCCTCTAGCCGCCAGTTGGAGGAACGAGTTGACCATGTAGTCGCAATGCTCGACGACATCAGTACCTTCGCTGCACCAGCCACCATCAGCAATCAGCTGGACACCTTGAAGACCGAGGTTCAGCAACTGCACCAGCTGCCTAACAAGGATGGCAACGCCGTGCAGCACTACAAGATGCCGACATTCCAAATCGAGAAGTTCGACGATTATACGCATCAAGACCCGGTCCTCTGGTGGGAGGGCTTTACAACGCAACTTCGGATTCTGTTCGTCGCCAAGCACGCGTACATAGGCGCGTTGTTTCTCAATTCATAGGGCGGATGCCAGATCTGGTTGAGCCACCTGGCAACCGTCCACGACGTCGACGTCGCAAATCTGAAAGATAAGATCTCTTGGGAAGAGTTAACACGGCTATGGAAGAAGCGGTTCATCGTAGACGACGCCCCGACGCTCGCCATCAACTGCCTCTTCGCTACGACGCAAGGCAACACATCGACACGTGACTGGCTCACGGAATGGCAAAAGATCGCTGCAACGCCCGACCTTGACTTGCCATTTTCGCATCTGCGCCGCGAGTTCTACAACCGGCCATGTGCCGCCTTGAGCCTTGCACTTGGTGATCACGAGCAATACGCGGCCTTCGCCGAAATCATCGACAAGGCAAGGGAGATCATCAAGACCAATAGGGCAGCTGCACATGAGAAATCAGCATGGCAGCTAACCTATGTGGAGAAGGTGAAAACTGGTCCGCGGCCACAGCATGTCGCTGCAGTCCAATCGGACAACATTGTGAAAGGCCCGGTAGCCACCCAAGCGTCACGTGAGGGAGATCAGCTGGCTGCTGTCCAGTCGCGAAGCAACAATAAGTCCCGAGGAAACGGGAAGGCGAAAACCGCATCGCCGGCCGGAAACGGATAGCCAGCACCATGGGTCAAGTTTCACTTGACCGAGGCGGAATACAAGTGGCGCGGCCGCTACGGCGGCTGCTATTGGTGCAACAACACCAAGCACAAGACCTCCCAATGCCCGGATCAAGGCAAGGAGGATGTTCGGCCTCGTATCAACTCAGGAAACTGAGTTCCGCGGGAGGTGAGGCGACTCCACCTCTCACTCCGCCAGATTCGGCCGCCTTGCTAGCGGCCTCCTACACATCTGGGGAGGATGCGAATGTCGGAAGTCCTCGGTTCACTTACGAGGATTATGCTGTCCGCTTGGTCACACCGTTGGACCAACCACTCCACGTGCAACAATCTATCGCATGCGCGGTTTCATCACCATCGGCAACCGATTCGGCAGCTTCGCCGCCATCTATCGCCGGGGATTCAACGATATGGTCAAGACTTGAAGAGCTCGACCCGTTGACGTTTGCGGACTTCCAATGGATGCCCCTTCCCCGGTCCGGTCAATTGCCGAAACCGGATTGCAATGTGCTCATGGCACAATTGCGGGATTACTTGCACACTGCAGTACCAACTCCGTTGATGGACGCCGGAGTAGAGGTTGTCGACCTTCACGCCTACATTGCGAAGATCGACCGCGAGTTCAAGACACAACGGTACGACGACATCGACGCACCATTGTTATATGTACGCATTCAGATCGGAGAGGCGACCTGCAGCACTTTAATCGATTGCGGAGCATCTCGCAACTACATGAGCCAGGACTTTATGGTACGCGCCAGCCTTGGCCCACGTGTCTGGAGGAAGTCCCAGCCTACGCAAGTCACATTGGCAGACGGTCACACCCACAAGTCAATCGACCGATGCATAGATGACGTCCCCGTGTACTTTGCCCCACATGCAAGCGAGGCGGTGTCCTTCGATATTTTGGACACCAAATTCGACATGATCTTGGGCATGTCATGGCTGGGAAGCGAGGATTACCCGGTGAACTTCTACCGCCGCACCGTTCACGTTCGTGATCGGAACGGAGTACTAGTCCCATGCACGGTAGCTCCTCCACACCCTTCGATTAGCTGCCACGTGGTGTCCGCCGCAAGCTTGCGAGCTTCCATCATCAGAGACGACATCGAGGAGATGGGGGTGTGTTTTCTCCACGCCCTCCCGCCCCATGACGCTTCATCGACGGACTCATCTTCGGACCCACGCATCACCGAGCTTCTCGACGCCTACGGCGATGTGTTTGAAGGCCCGCACGGAGTAGTACCGGATCGGCCCATCCGCCACGAGATCATCCTCGAGGACGGGGCTGTACCTCCGCGTGGTTGCATCTACCGAATGAGCGAGGAAGAGTTAAGTGTGCTACAGGCACAACTCGACGTCCTTTCGGAGAAAGGCTGGATTTGGCCTAGCTCATCGCCATACGGTGCTCCCGTTCTCTTCGTCCGGAAGAAAAACAAAGATTTGCGGTTGTGCATCGATTATCGCAAGCTCAACGTGCAAACGATCAGAAACGCCGGCCCTCTTCCACGCATCGAGGACCTTCTTGAACGGCTGGGTGGCGCCAAGTTCTTCTCCAAGCTTGACCTCAAATCGGGATATCACCAACTCGAGATTCGGCAGGAGGACCGCTACAAGACCGCGTTTAAGACACGATATGGGCATTTCGAATGGTTGGTGATGCCATTTGGCCTTACGAATGCCCCGACCACTTTCCAAGCGGCTATGACAACGGAGTTCCGACACATGCTGGATCGATACGTACTTATCTACCTTGACGACATCCTGGTGTACAGTCGGAGTTTGGACGAGCATGTGGAGCACCTGCGCACCGTTTTGGAGCGGCTACGACAAGCCAAGTACAAAGCTAATCGCGACGAATGCGAATTCGCGCGGCAAGAGCTGCAGTACTTGGGACATTATGTGCCGCCGCAAGGCATCCGTCCGCTTGCGAACAAGATCGAGGCCCTCCGCGTATGGCCCGAGCCCACCAACACCATAGACGTTTGACACATGCTCAGGGGAGCAATGCGCAGTATACCAAGGATCCACAATGTGATGAAAAGGACTAAAATGGACAGTGGAAATCAGCGCAGCATCAATAAGCAATGTACATCCCGATACATACAAGATGCCGCAAATGGCACAGCGGAAGACTTCAGAGAGAAGATCTGATCTGACGTGGACTGACCCGACATCCATCACACATCACACATGGGCGAGAGAGGAGGGACCGCAATCATGGAAGGAAGGTCCCTCCTTCGTACACACACGTGGGGAGAAACCACGGATGAGAGATGGGGGAGAGACAGACGAAAGAGGGAGGAGGCGAGAAAGTAGACCAAGATCGCAATGACGAAGTCCAAAATAGTCTCTTGCCGAATGTCCAAATAATGTCTGTCTCAGAAATGTCGAATCAGATCCTGGGCAGTGCGCCCGTTACAACCCCAGCCTGAAATCCCTACTGATAACCTCTCACACTCTCAGATTCGAAGAAGAAGAGATAAGAAGGAGGAAGGAGGGAGGAGAGAGAGAGAGAGAGAGAGAGAGAGAGAGAGAGA